AAAAAAAAAAAAAAAAAGAATTAAAGAGAAAAAATAAATATCCAGGCATGGTGGCTCACTCCTGTAATCCCAGCAGTTTAGGAGGCTAAGGTGGGCGATCACCTGAGGTCAAGAGTTTGAGACCAGCCTGGCCAATATGGTGAAACCCTGTCTCTACTAAAAATACAGAAAAATGGCTGGGCACAGTGGCTAACGCCTGTAATAATCCCAGCACTTTAGAAGGCCAAGGCAGGCAAATCACCTGAGGTTGGTAGTTCAAGACCAGCCTGGCCAGCATGGAGAAACCCCATCTCTACTAAAAATACAAAAATAAGGTGGGCGTGATGGTGGATGCCTGTAATCCCAGCTATTTGGGAGGCTGAGGCAGGAGAATTGCTTGAACCTGGGAGGTGGAGGTTGCGGTGAGCTGAGATCATACCATTGCACTCCAGCCTGGGCAACAAGAGTGAAGCTCTGTCTCAAAACAAACCATACACACACACACATGCACAGCAAAATTAGCTGATGTGGTAACTTGCACCTGTAGGCCCAATTACTCAGGAGGCTGAGGTGGGAGGATCGCTTGAGCCCGGGAAGTTGTGGCTGTAGTGAGCTATGATCACACCACTGTACTCCAGCCTGGGCAGCAGCATAGCAAGACCCCATCTCCACCAGAAGTTTAAGAATTAGCCAGCCGTGGTAGTGTGCACCTGCAATTCTAGCTACTTGGGGGGCTTGAGGCCAGGAGTTTGAGGATGTAGTGAGCTATGTTCTTGCCACCATACTGCAGCCTGGGAGACAGAATGAGACCCTGTTTCAAAAAGAAAAAAATAATGCCCCCCCCAAAACAAAACAAAACAAAAAGAAACCCAGTGATGGTCGCAGTTGTCCTTTTCACATTGGCCGTCCCTATTGGGGCCAGGTTTGGGGTTGGCATCTGTGTCCCTCCTGATGGCCCCGCGCCCCGTCCTGCCCATCCCAGGAGAACAAGAACCTGGTTCATGGTAATGTGTGTGGCCGGAACATCCTGCTGGCACGCCTGGGGCTGGAGGAGGGCACAAGCCCCTTCATCAAGCTGAGCGATCCCGGCGTGGGCCTGGGTGCCCTCTCCAGGGAGGGTGAGTACTTGAGGGGACCTGGGCACAGTGGGGGCTTCCCCTGTTCCTTTCACCCTTGGTGACTTCTGACCTCGGGCCCCCAGAGCGTGTGGAACGGATCCCCTGGATGGCCCCCGAGTGCTTGCCAGGCGGGCCCAACAGCCTAGGCACTGCCACGGACAAGTGGGGCTTTGGTGCCACCCTCCTCGAGATCTGCTTTGATGGAGAGGCCCCCCTCCAGAGCCGCAGCCCCTCCGAGGTATGTCTAGGGAACCCCTGGGCCCTCCCCACAAAGGAGGCCCCTCCAAAGATTCCAGAGGACAGAATCAGAGCTCAGAGCTGCCTCCCCTCTGGCTGCGTGACTTTAAGTCTCTCTGGGCCATCTGCAGGCGGTCCACTTGGGGTTCACTATCGTCCCTTTTTTTTTTTTGAGATGAAGTCTCCCTCTGTTGCCCAGGCAATTTCAGCTCACTGCAACCTCCGCCTCACGGTTTCAAGTAATTCTGCCTTAGCCTCCCAAGTAGCTGGGACTACAGGCGTTCGCCACCATGCCTGGCTAATTTTTGTATTTTTAGTAGAGATGGAGTTTCACCATGTTGGCCAGGCTGGTCTCAAACTCCTGACCTCAGGTGATCCGCCCGCCTCGGCCTCCCAAAGTGTTGGGATTATAGGCGTGAGCCATTGTGCCCGGTCAGTCCCAGCCTTTTTGGGTCCTTGTGGAAGTCACTTGTACCTGGCACACAGAAGGCAAGTAAGAGACTTGGCTTCAGTTTTAGGCAGAGTGACCAGGGCAGTGATGGGAGATACCCAGGCTGCAGAGAGGGGAAGAGGGACGGAGGATGTACCCCAGCATTGGGGTCAGATAAGGCTTCCCAGAGGAGGTTTGTGTGTTGTTTTTGTTTTTGTTTTTTTGAGACGGAGTCTCACTCTGTCCCCCAGGCTAGAGTGCAGTGTCATGGTCTCTGCTCACTACAACCTCCACCTCCCAGGTTTAAGCAATTCTCCTGCCTTAGCATTCCGAGTAGCTGGGATTGTAGGCACCCACCATCATGCACAGCTAATTTTTTGTATTTTTAGTAAAGACGGGTTTCCCCAGGGTCCCAGCACTGGGATGGATCTCAGTGTGGGGCTGCAGCCGGGTGCACAGCTAAATGTTGACCAGGCTGGTCTCAAACTCCTGACCTTGAGTGATCCGCCCTCCTCGGCCTCCCAAAGTGCTGGGATGACAGGCGTGAACTGCTGCGCCCGGCCCTGGAAGAGGTTTTATCTAAATGTAAAATTATGCCAACGAGCCTGGCTAGGAAGGGCAGCTTAGGCAGAGTGCATGTGCTGTGCAAAGGCTGAGGCTTTGGTGTATTGAGGAGCTGTGGTCCATAGGAGGGGCGGAAGGGAACCCCAGACGGGAGGCTGACTGTGACTCTCCAGCGCCGCATCATCACCGGACCTGGTTCCCAGTTCTGGCTCTGCAGCTGTGAGCACATCCTCCCATTTTGCAGAGCCTCAGTTGCCTCATCTGTAAAATGAGACTGTGGCAAGAGCGGGCACCTGGCCAGTCCAGCCCTGCAGCTCTGGGGCTTGACTCTGCCTCTTGGGGAAGGGGACGGGGGCGAGGGAAGGATGTTGACTCCTTGGGGTCTCTTCCCCAACAGAAAGAGCGTTTCTACCAGAGGCAGCACCGGCTGCCCCAGCCCTCCTGCCCAGAGCTGGCCACACTCACTGGCCAGTGTCTGACCTATGAACCAACCCAGAGGCCGTCATTCCGCACCATCCTGCGTGACCTCACCCGGCTGCAACCCCACAGTGAGTTCCATCCCAGCGCTGGGACCCTGGGGAAGCGGGACGGGGCTTGGATCCCTGCTCTATTTCCACAGTACCTGCGAGGTCTCTGCACTGTATTTCAGGGTGTGTGCCAGTTTCTTGCAGTGGCGTTCACAAGTGTGCCCTGCCTGGCTGCCCTGAGCTCTCCCTAATGTATTTATTTGTTTATTGTAAGGGAATCTTGTTCTGTCGCCCAGGCTGGAGCACAGTGGTGCTATCTTGGCTCATTGTAATTTCCACCTCCTAGGTTCAAGCTATCCTCCCACCTTAGCCTCCCAAGTAGCTGGGATTACAAGCATGTGCCACCATGCCTAGCTAATTTTTTGTATTTTTAGTAGAAATTGGGTTTTGCCATGTTGACCAGGCTGGTCTCAAAGTCTTTTTTTTTTTTCCTGAGATGGAGTTTTGCTGTTGTTGCCCAGGCTGGAGTGCAATGGTGCAATCTTGGCTCACTGCAACCTCTGCCTTCTGGGTTCAAGCAATTCTCCTGCCGCAGCCTCTTGAGTAGCTGGGATTACAGGCGCATGCCACCATATCTGGCTAATTTTTGTATTTTTAGTAGAGATGGGGTTCCGCCACGTTGACCAGGCTAGTCTTAAACTCCTGACCTTGTGCACCACCCACCTTGGCTTCCCAAAGTGCTGGGATTATAGGCGTGAGCCACTATGCCTGGCTTCCTTAATGTTTTGTTTGGGGAGAGATACAACTTCTTTGGATTAATTAGAGAATTAGACCATT